AGTACAACAAAAAACTCTCTCTGCCCTTTCTTTTTTTTCCTTCTCTTTCTCCTGCCCTTCGCCGACTGTCGCAGACTTTAACGCACAAAAAAACTAACAAAGAAATATTACTTAACTCATTAAATTATTAACACTAAACACTTAACACTGAAACCTATTATTAATACAGATCTCTGCCATTCCCGGCTTCTTTTAGTTTTAGATTTTCTCCCTTCCGAAATCACTCCATCGTTCCCTGGGACGGTAAAAGCACTCGCGAAGCCACTCGAAAGACCCCGCCAAATCTCGGACTGCTCTTGCTTTCGCTCTAGCTACGCTATATAGCCCTGCCTTGGCTCGCTCTCCAAAAAGACGATTGAGTTTTTTTTTCTTCTTCCCCAAAAACCACTCAACCCCCGCTAGCGTGACGTCGGTGCCCGTGTACTTGGGCCTGCAATTTTTTTTCCACCGCTGCTTTGGCTGCTCCTCTGGACCCCTTCTGGCGTCCCTTGGACTCTCGATCTCCTCGACGCCTCGCGTCTTTGGATCCGCGAAGCTGATCCGGGCCGCTTTGCAAAGAAAATACGGCGATGCGGCGTTCCTCCTTTGCGGTATCCCCTGCGCCAATGGCCGGTCCTACACGGATGAAATTATCTGACTAGTCCAATTTTCCTTTACCCTTCTCAATCTTACCTAGGCTGGAAAACTAATGCCGGAATGCTGAAGCTCTTCTCCTCCCGCCGCGATTACACTTTTTTTTCCTTTTTAGCACTTATAAAAAATACTTGTTGGCTGTTGATAGACAAAACGAACGCTCGGGTCGAGCGCCAAAACGGGAAGAGACCGAAGCCAAGCCCCTCAACAAGCTACAACCCTCGGGCCCTCTCAAAGGACAGGGTGAAATGCCAGAGAAAGTTGACAATCCAAGCTGTTAACTCTATCACTCTTCCTATGCCACTTTTCGTGATCTCCCCGACCTAGCCCATAGAGGGTGTTTGGTCTACCACGGCCCTTACGGTGCCGACCACTAGATGGCGCTGCGAACTAGCTCGCTCGCTGATCCAAGCGTTACAGGTTGTTTCAGTCCTTACCAATGGATCTCCCCTTACAAGAACCTATGGAACGGCCAAAACAATCAATGGCAATCAAGAGGAGTTGTAAGAAAATATTTCCTGGGCAGAGGCGAATCCAGCGAATTCAAAATGAGATGAATGGCGGGAAAAGGCCGCAGGAATCTAAGAACACAATGCAATTTCAATACAAGTTAAGCGAACAATTGAAAGTTTCTTAATTGTAATCCTGCGGCATACTTTCGTGGAACGGTAATTTGAAAATGAGCAATGCAACTCGAGCACAGGAGCAAGAAAGGGCCTGCTTATAGTTTGAAAGCCGAAGGATGAAGTACCCCTGCAGATCCGAAGCCATGTACATTGCATGGAACTTATATACATACATATATGATAAGATTCCCACCGTACGCTGAAAAGTTAAGGGCCTGTGCAGATATCTTTTGCCCTCACACTGACTTTAATCACTCGGAACAATAGAGAGCGAATGACTTGCTGCAATTCCCAGTTCTTGTAGTCTAGAAAGTTTTGATGTTGTATAGAGAAATTATTTTAAAATTGCACACAGCATATACAGACCACAAAAATAAGTAATAATAATACTTTCGGAATATCGAATGCTTGATAAACTTTCTGGACAATTAGCGCAATTGAAAAATGTCTGAAAAGTTATCAAGGACAATATGGTGTGGTGTTGATTTGTGCTAGCGGGCGGGAAGTACGAGGAGTACTCACTTAGAGGCGGATGTCAACGGCACTGCGAGGCGCGCTCCATCACATTTCTAATTACGAAGTTCCCCGAGGTAATTAACTTTGCATGCATTACACAAATTACGCAAACAATGCGAGCGCCACACCGAACCTTTATCAACTCAATTACGAGGAGAGAAACTCGCCCGCCCATCCCCCCGCTCCGAATGTGTCGCAGAGATGCTTTTGCGAGATAACCGCAAATAAGCTTTGTTTGTAATTTGGCGAAATGGTTGGGGCTGTTGCTTCCCGCCTCGTCCCACTCGTCCCACTCGTCCCCCTCAGCCTAGCCTATCAGCGGGCCACCATCGGGAGAACAAGAGATGGTTACAGTTGGTTCAGAGAGCTCTGGTACAGTAAATACTCGCAATACACTGCTAGTTTTTATTTATTTTATACTTCCTGCTTCTCTTTGGCTGCCCCTTCCGTTCGGGGCTTTCTTATTTGTAAACCCTGAGATCGTAGGCAGAGCTCGCAGTAAATTTGTATTAAATATCCAAAGAATGCACATAGAAAACCAAAATATACGCCGAAAGTTCCACAATAGAAGCTGAATCTCCATCTCCACTCTATCTCCAAGTTCCTGGTGTGTTCTATGCAATATGGTCATATGAATTGCTCTTTCTGTGAAAAATCGACACAATAAATATTTCGCACATACGACACGACACATGTTTTTGAAATATGTAAAACAATTCAAAGTACACTTTGGTTTGGGCGCAAAAAACAAAGGAGAATGAAATGTACATATAAGGCAGGACAATAGCGACCAGCACCCATGATTTTTATGAGTCTGTGTTGATTCCCATTCCCATCCAAGCTGCTGCGGCCGCTTTAATGACCATTGGTCGTCTGCACAGAATCCTTTGACATCTCGTGTTTCTGTAGTACAAGTTTGTCCTAGCAAAAGTAAACCGTACTTCTCGTCGCCAATGCCTATAGATCCTACGATACACATACGAGTGTGTAGATTGAGTACGTGCTATGCTGAGTTTCTACTTATTTTGTAATGGTAAATACAAGTTTTTGTAATTAAAGTGAAAGCAAAGGGCAGTGCCTCTCCTCTCTCTTGTTTTATGATATGCTGATTCAATTATTTTTATTTTTCTACAGCCACGGGTAGGAGTCGAGCTGAAAGACAAGTAATTCATTTCCATCGTTTTGGCAATTGGTACTCAATGCTCTATAATTTGTCCTAAAACATAAACAAAGCCATTGTAAAATGTGGCCACCAATTAACCATTGCGGAGATTACTTTTAACTCCAGAAGGCTTTAAAGTAACTTTAGGTGATGCTTTTACTGCTACTCTGCTATCCTGTAATAAAATACATCACCGAAACTTTCTTAATTGTCCCGAAATGAAAATAATTCATGATATACAAATTTTACGCAGCTTTCACTTGACAAGTTTAATTGTGCGGCCAGGCTGGGAGGTCATAAAATTATTTTACGATCTAGATTCTGGCAGAAACGAGAGCCACCCGGACTTCTCCCTCAAAGGATTGATTTTAATGGTTTTGCGTATTTATCTTTTTATTTAAATCGATGAGGGACGTTCATTCTCGTGGCTTGACTTCAGCACAAAAAACACAAAAGGTTTCGCATTTTTTAGAATGCGGCTTGACTTTGCATTGGCTTGTCATCCCGATGAAGATGCATGGAAAATTGGCATGGAGTATGCGTATTTCTGTGTGCTACAAGCCTTTGACCAATGTCACAAGTGTAAAGTAGACGTGTCAGACAGAGCTAGAGTATCGATTTCTAAAAGTGTGCATGTCGTCTCAAGCACGTTCTTGTTTGTCCCAGGCCATTCTTGCAAGCTATACAATCTGCTCCTAGAAGAACTTAGCAGCTTACGAGCACGACATATGCAGAAGAAGAGAGAAAGCTCTGGCCCGCCGACATTTATGTAGGAAACGAAGGAAAGAGAGAGACACGAAGCGGTCGTGGTTTCGTCGCGTCGTCTGTATAGGGCAGTAATCAGCTCTGAGAGAGCCGTTAGAAAGAGGGAGAGATCACTCAGTTCTCAGTTCAGCCACTCAAGCGCATAATAACAACTCAAAAACATACATACTTATTGTAAAACTTGGAGCTTAAATCAAATAAATGTTATTCGTTGCCATCAAAGAAGTTAATCTACCACATTTATATGTAGAGCTTTGAGATTGGAAGTCCAATATATCTACGGGTATATCTTGCCAATCTATATATACATATAAATACTAGATGCCCATGTGCTCCACGCATACCGCGGGTAAACCTCATCCAAGCCATGCAATAATAGACATACGAGTAATCATACAACTCGGGACGCGTTCATTCCCCAAGTGTGAAAGCCGCAACTCCCCAAGGGCAGGGGCACAAAAAATAAGGAAAGATAACATAGCAGGGCCTTCCTTCTGCTTGGCGGCCTCCTAGTTGCAATATGTAACAATATGTATGTTGATTAACATGGAGGACGCGCTAGCTTGCCGCTTGTCGTTGCGCGTCTCCCCAGCCCCCCAGCTCCCTTGTTCCTGCTCTTCCACGATTTAATTAAAGTCTACATGTGCTAAGTAGATTTTGTTCCTGGGTTGCGGACTTCTTTTTTCCCTTCCTTGCATGTACCATTCGCTTTTCGCCTGCTGGCCATAATTGATTTAGGCATTTAGTGCATTAGACATCAGTTAAAGTTCCTCATATTTAGTTGGGTGGCGGTACTGAGAGTACATTATGAATGCGGTTGAGTTTGTGAAAGTGTTCAGAATGTTATTCGTCTAAACTTTTTGCCGACTTTGAGGTTTTGCATGGGTAGCAACGAATTTTTCACTCCAAAAATGTTTTTGAGCAGTTTTGCCCTTGCAGCTTTGAACTAAAGTTGGTGGGTATTACATATTCCATATGATAGTTGAGAAAATACCCAGATACTGGGGATTTACTCATGTGAAACATCTTTCGTTAGTTTACAGTGCGTGTTATATTTAAAGTGATTCGTTTAAATACCAAGTTAAACAAGTGTTGATAGCAGCCCCAACGGCACTCTCTGAGGATCAACAACATACTGTATGGGTAGATGCGGCCGTAGCCCAATTACAGTTGCTGCTGGCTTAGAGCTTGTACAAACATTATTCCCAGTTACAAATGAGAATCAAATATGTATAACTACTTGCATATGGTTGTACATTGGGAAATGGGCATCAATATTTACGGATGCAGCTACTTACGTGATGACTTAATGCCCTGCCGATTCCTGATTGCTTGAGGCAAGTGCTGGGCCTCCAATGACCATGTTCTTGTTACACTGGTACTTGTCATAATTGTGATGATTAGCATTAAGGCGCAGCCTTTACATTTCCCGGGCATGGCCATGATCCTCGTCGCTTGCTAGTTATACTCAGATTGATTCTGTTCTGATTTGTTCACCCCACGTGCGGTCCGCTGATTGGAGGCATTTATCCGGATAATTCACATGGTTCTCAATGATGCCGAAAAGTAGATACTGCAAAAGTAAGATAGAACTAGATCAGTACAATGTTGTACGTGCTTTCATGCTGTCGGCCTGCAGGTTTATATCTAAGTATTTATAAAAAAGGCACATCGTCCCGCACATATCAGTGTTCATTTTCCCGGCAAACAGAGTCTTAGCCAAATGCACTCCGCTATATAATTATCCAATAATTACCTTGTAGATTTCCCGCTTTTCCTGCTGCTAGGTTACTATTTTTGTATGTATTGTATACAAAAAACAAAACACTCAATGGCTGAAGAACCAAATCTTAACGAATCAAACCGGGAAAACACTTCTCGTGTCTGACTTCTGGCTTATTTTCTCCCCATAACTACAAGTTTATTACACATCTCCCGCGTAACCATTAATCACCTGGACAACGGCCATAGAGGCAGCGAACTACTGTTAAACTTGTATGGTCCCAAAAAAATACGCTGTCAATAAACCTAGTTTCTCTGATAGGCTCCAAAAATATGTAATGAGGGTATAGCTCCCTGCCACTTTTGTCTGTGGCATATTATGGTTAAAGGGATGATAAATGTGGGACAAAACAAAGCATACGGCTTCAGATAAGTTCAATTTTGTCATATTTGTTGGTAAACTCTTTTTTTCTTTTATCTGCATAGATATAAAGGTTATCTGGGAACACGCTGTATTTCAAAAGGCTGTTTTTTGAGGTGTCCGGTTCACGTCCTCACGCGAAAACTACCTCTATTTTAGAAGACTCATTAAGATCTGTAATGAGGTCCCTAAATTACCGTATTAATCTACTACTCACATTGACTTTTACTTCTTGGAAGGAGATTTGTGTACTGCTGATACTGATATTACAATACTTTTAATCATATGAACATTTTTTTGATTTGTTTTCTGCAACGCTAATAGTGCTATACGGCATTATTTAACACTGACCGATCGAAGCTTTCAATTGGTAACTTTTTTCAAACACAGCACTCAGACATTGAATCAATTCTGCCCGCACTTTCCGGTTAGACGACAGCACCAATCAAAAATTCATTAAATATGTACGTATTTTGGCTTTTGACATTTTCTTTGCATTTCAAGCAAAAATTCGCACAACACCAAAGCGGACAACGACAACACAACTACGAAAAATCTTGATAATGTAAATTTCACAAGCAACGATTCCCCGAACACGTGCGCCGCGAGTTGTGGGATTTATCAAAGGACTTTTCTGAGTTCAGAAGAAAATTTCTGTTGTTTCCTTTTCCGCGGCCGAAACATGTTTGTTTCACTCGGCAACCGAGTCCAGAGCTTTCCGTACTCTGTCCTGAAGCAAGCCGCGAAGGCACTCACTCACGAGCACCTCCAAGCCGAAGTTGTGGCTGTGCTTTTGTGAAAGGATTTTTCGCCGCACTCCGAATGCTGTTGAAAGCTCTGAAGAAGGGGCAATAAAGCTATTGATGGTGTTGGTGGAACATTTAAAATGAGCTTTTCTGCTGTTGATGATTCGATTCACACATTCTGTTAAAATTCTGATACCTGCTTGCTTCTAGCTGTGCGGTGGGTTTGACCGTATTTAGTTGAATTCGAGTTCGAACATTTTCGAATATTCGATATTATCTTTCGATATGCCACTTGCTATAAATGTCACTTCTTTACACTGCTTGTTTAACTGCTTGATGCACTGCTTGCTTAACTTCTTAGTACTAAATTTCAAGCAGTCAAAGCAGGGAAATTAAATTGCAACGAAAATTGAGTACTATAATATGCATTATAGCGCGTACTTAAAATCCGTTGAAATTTAGTTAACATGAATGTACACATTTCGTCTGATACTGTATGACTATACAAAATCGGAGGGTACCGATGCCAAGTCGCCCCAAAAGGTAATGTAGCTTCGGTTTAAAATGATTAAAAAAGTTTAAATATGCCCCTAGTATTTTTAATAAATAATAATAATAATATTTTAATAAAAAGTTTAGCAAAAGCTTCGCCCAAAAGTATGCAGCGAACTTTCGCTGGCCGGCAACGAAACAATGTTCCAACGTTTCCACACGCGTTTCCAACTTCGTTTCCACACGTGACCTTAAAATGACCTGCGTGTGGAAACGAAGTTGGAAACGTGTGGAAACGTGGTTGAAAGTAAAGTAAATGTAAATGTAAAGTAAATGTAAAAGTAAATGTAAAGCGAAATCCCATGTGAGTAGAGTAGAGTGAGATAGAATCATTTACAATTACTTCTCTTTCAGAGAAGTTTTTACAATGCCCAAAAAACTGTTTTACTCAAACTTTTAATACTATACTTTGCAGGTAAAAATTGAAAAAAAAATTCAACGCCACTGTGTATATATATTTTTTTTCAATGTACATATATCTCTTATATAGGAGATGAGATAGGATACCTATCCTATCCTATCCGGGGTGGACTCCTAATTTGAACATTCGACGACCCTCCATCGACATATCTGATATAATGTCGGTCACCAAGGCCGGGAACAAACACGTGCAATAAGATGCTTCAACTGTGTAAGATCCTCTGCAATCCGGTTCTGGAAATCCACGCGCACCGGTGGGAACTCCGTAATCCCGCCATTTTGCCGCAGTGAAATGAAAATTGTAAACGGGGCTCAGTACTCTGTCAATCCATGTATGTGGATGTATGTGAATGTGTGCAGCATGCAAAAAAGAAAAGCAAAAAGAAAAGCGAAAACATAACGGTACGGTACTACTTCTTTGGCAAATGTGAGTGGTTAAAGTGAATGAAGAAGAGACGAAGAAGAAGAATTAAAAATGTCATTCAATATTAATTTTAATTGTGGTCCCCCCCCGGTCGGCCAATATAAAATTGGAGAAAAAGAATCTATACTGGAATGTATAAATTCTCTGCCGAAGTGCGATTTGCCTCTGCAGCAAAAGCCTGAAGTCGGTTGCCAGCAGACGGCCGAGATTGCTGATGATAGCTTTGATTGCTCCAATCTCACAGCAGCACAGTTGGAGCAGTTGGCCCTACTGACGGCCGCAGCCAACCCTGGGCAATCAAGCGTCAGTTTGATGGTGATGATTCCCGCGGAAAGTTTGTTGGAAATTGTTCAGGTACTGTCTGGCACCGCGGCCCAGATAGTATCCATGTCGTCAACCGTTTTAAAGGGGAATTCCAGCAAGGGAACAACTTCCGAGGTGCCAATCTGGGTGGATGCAGGAGTGGGCGTGCCGCCCAGTGTCGGAGATATGGAGATGTACCAATCGCCCGAAGACAAACCGAGTGTGGTGGTGCAGACACAATCAGTAAGTAAATGCAATTAAACTTGAAATTCACAAGATCGCATCTATCTATCTATAGTATCTATCCCAACAGAAATCGACCACCGATAATCAGAGTTTTCGCATCCTGGAACATGTGATAATTCCATCCCAGCAGCCGGGCAGCCTCTGCAAACAAGAGCAACAGCTGATGGCGACTACCGCTGGAGGCAGTGCCCAGACTTCGGTGCAGTCACCCACGATGTTGTCCCTACTCACAGCCAACAACGTAAATCATCATCCTGCAGCAATGTATCGGTTTAAAATGTCCTGTTAAAATATCCAGGCAAGTGGCAAATTATCGGCATATTCTCCAGATAAATTGTTACGCAGAATGTCTCTACATTTCGGCATTCATAATACCTTGAATCTTCATCAGGTGACCTAAGCCCATTGGAGAATGTGTATTGATTTTAGTAACAAAAATAAAAATAATAAAAAAAAAATTAAATAAAAATTCCGTTTTTCTTTTGTGTACCTCTCAAATTTCTTGATAGGTGTCCCTTGAGCAGAGAATGTTTCTGGACACTGCTTTATGGGATTAGAATTGGAATCCTTTTGGGGATCAGACACATCCCCCACAAAACTAATATCTTCCTAAACTATTCGTGTAATTATTCAGGAAACTCATACTTCATTCAACTTTATTTTATTTATGCAAAAATCGATTATATAATTTAATGTACAAATGAAATTAAAAATTGAAACTCAAAATTCGCCTATTGAACAGAGAACCAACTAAACAACGCTCAATTTACATTTTAAGAAGTCTTTTGAAAATTGTACACACAAATAATATGAATACAAATATATACCACTTCAGCTTATCAGCTGGCCAGAGGATCCCACGTCTTTCCATGCCCTGATCCAGCGGACCTGGACATGGAGACGGATCACAAGGACAGGAAGTACGAGCTGTAGCCTTCAAAATGCAGTTGGAAATGTTTCGTTCTTCTCTAATTATAAAATTGATATTTTTCGGTCGCGGGGATAAATGCATAAGCATGAGATGAATTGAACAAACAAATTGTTTTATCGGGTTTTTGATATATCGGTTCTTTCTTGGCATCCACCATAATTTGCTCGTATTGCTTTTTTACTAGTCCATGTTGACGAAATGTTGATGTTTAGAGATGGTAGGAGTTGAGATTTATACTTATTTAAAACAAATTAATTCTTTTTAACTAATTGCCAAATAATTGTGGTTCCTTCAATATTGACTATGACGTGTTCTTGTTTATTCTTCGGATGGTATTACTCGTAGAATGTTTTCCAAGCGTGCCTGACGCTTAGAATCATTTAAGCTTGGCATAGGCATCAACCTTTTTGTGAAACTGATTGTAGTATTCCAAAGCCACATTGCGCGTCTGATTCAGCGCCTGATTGATGTTTTCTGGTGAGAAGCGGCCACTAAAATCACAGAATCACTTAGTAATGCTTTCTTTAATTCATTCTTCATGTAAAACTTACATCAGAATCTTTTCCTTGATTAGCGCGGCAGACTTTTCGTAGCTATTGTTGGCCAAATCACAAGCGCCCGAAACGAAAGCCTCAAGTTTACTTGACAAATTGGGCACATATTGATCAATCTAAAAAAAAAAACATTTTTTAACAAAGGAAACAATCTGGTGAAAATACAAAGATCACTTCTAAACCGGTTTGAACACTCCGTTGGGAAATGACCTCATCTTAGAATTGGAAAAATAACGTACAAACTTGGCAAGCACGGGCCACTTGGTATTGAAGTATCCCTTGCCGGATTGTATGATATTGTATGCTGCATTCCTCGCCAGCTTCCACAGATCTACAGAAGTCTTAATTGCTGGTTCGGCATACGGTGGGACATGTTCCTCCGCCCATTTATAGCCCCGGGCGCTTGCTCCCATGGTGACATACCAGGCCCTCTGGACATGTGGCAAAACTCCAGCGTTTTTCAGTACTTTGCCAGTGGCTGATTTCTCAAACACCCCCTTGCCATTGACCTCGGTATCATAGCAGAGAGCGCCAGCAATCAGTGCAATGATGAAAATACTACCCAAAGTCCACTTACAGCAGCCACATTTCTTCTTCTGTGTCGCAGAATTTTGTTTGTTCTTCTTTTGCTGTGCGCTGCTTTTTTCCTGAACAGTCTTGTAGGGGTAGGAATGAAGTTCTTATTAGTATTAAAGTACATTTCAGAAGGCTTATATTTCGAGGTATTTGTTCGTTTAGCTTGTTCTTTACCTTTTTGGCAGCGGTCACTTGTTTGCCACCCTGTTTGCTACTTTTCGGTTTAACCTGAGCCATTTTGAAATTAATTTCTCTTAAATTTCGGATAACTACGAGTATTTATAGTTTTTTTTTCAGCTTCTGTTGCAAAATATGTCGGAATTAATAAATGACGTGTTTTGTTTTGATTTTTGTAATTGTGTTTGCTAAAAAGTATGAAGAGGGCTTTTTAAGCTTTGAAATTGAGCTTTTGATACAGCTTAGCGCTAATGAATTGGTTTGAAGACGATTTCGGATTCTTGGAGGGACAGGGCAGGAGAGGACAAACGGTGGGAGAAAGGCGTTCCAATAATTGGAGGCAGCTACATTCGTCGACACACAATGTTTAAGACCAGGGACAGCCAGTTTTTCAGAGTGAGAGTCAGGAAAGGTGGCAACACTAGAAATTTGATAAGGATTTTAGGGAGAGAACAAAATATGGCGTTGAAATTTACTTTGCGAGACTACTGAAGAAAAAAGAAAGCCATGCCATACAAGTTGGACTATCTTAAGAGTTCAACGACCTTTAACAGAGGGCTTTAAAGTTTACAAGTATTCAAGTATGTATGCATGTATTTATTTACAATTCTTGCTGAATTCTTGCTGTTTTTATGAAAATTATCAGTTTTGAGGAGCTTAAAATGGGCATACGTAAATCAAGATATCGAGTATTTCGGTAGATCGTGATGGACAATGGACAGACCTGCCACGTGTTGAAACAAGCTGGAACCGACATACATCCCAACTACTTGTTGTTTCTTCTTGGTCTCTTCTACTTCTTGGGCAAGTTATTCTTTATGACGTGGATAACTTCGGGGGAGAGACGCCAAAGTGACACCACTGCCGAATGTATTAAGAATTAGAGTTCGCAGAGGTGCGCACAATCTAAAATGAGATGGGGTGAGAGGGGCGGCGAGTGGCATAAGACAGCCAATCATAGCTAGAACACATCATTCGCATCGACGACGGTGTTTCTTAGATTGCGTTTGCTAGACGCAAGATCACCAGATGTAGTGTACTGATAGGGCAAGAAGTCATACGTTTGCTGATAAATACAATGTTGAAAGCACTTTTCGAAAGCAACACGTCCGGTCAGAGAAAATTGAGCGGCAACTGGACCCGCATGGCAACGCCATGAAAAAATGCAGCTTGCTGGTACCAATACACAAGAGCGTCACACACAGCCATACGCACACGCACACTGTATAAGACGATTCGAACACGTAGACAAAAAACGCACTTTGCACACTAACAACAATAGTTTAGTTGCAGAACACGAATATATTGACAGTTAAAACTATCAATTAATAAAAAGGGGAGTAAATTCGCTCAGACGCCGGCAAATGTTTCTCTCTGACAGCAACGAAGTGACGTCGCGTTGGCAGCGTCCCTCTGAAACTTTATTTGATTGGCAATTGCTGTCTTTCTACGCGAAAGTAAACTGCATAAATGTATTTAAATGACCGATTTTGATTAACTAGCCCACTTCATTCTTTTTAGCACCAGCTGGAACCATTTAGCACATTACAAATTTTAGTTTAACTTTTTAATTTTTTTTATACCTGTGTTCAGTCTCGTATAACGATATGAAATCGAACTTAGCCCACTTAAGCCCCCTCTATTTAAACAGTTGAACGACTGGAGTTAAATGGCGGAAAATATTACTTATTGTAAATTCTTCTTGTAGTTCCATGACATCTTTCCACTGAATTAAAAAAAAAGCACGATGTTTTTCACCTGAACTGCGCTAAATTATTATATATTCATTATTTTCGGTGGAATATTAAAATACCCTTGGTTTACAATGGGTTAATCGTTCTCGGTCAAGGATTGGAAACCATGTTCCTCGATTTCTATATTCCGTGGTATATTACTAGCTATATAGAACATTTAGCCATGCCCACATAATTTTATCTGATTAATGAATCAATTTTCTACTTGACTGGCTTATTTGAAATACCGGCTTTTATTTGATATTGTCTAAAACAATCTTTAGACAAATAAAGTCAAAGTACGGTATGAAACATTAGTATACTCTTTGGGTCATAGTCATAGTTTCCTTGCATACTACCCTATTTTCTTGAATGTAAAAATTGTTTTTGAAGCTGCTTTAAACAGTAACTAATAATAACATTTTCTTTGATGGACATTTGTTTGACAAAATGAACTGGAAAATTTCGTTTTGTTAGCTTTAAAGCAGAGACAGGCTAGTTTCTGGTTATTGGACCATGAGATGACAAACCTTTCCTCACTTCTATAATATTCTTTTCCCTAGGGTGTGCAGAATGTTGACCATCCCGCGCCCATGTTGCGGGACATGCTGCTCGTTTTCTCGGCACATGAGTCCGACCCATACAAATTTAATGTTGCCAACGGCAAAAAACGATTCAGTAGCCGATTCAGGGAGAGCGAAACATGAGCACCAATGTGACCAGATTGACATACGAACAAGTGAAGTGTTGGAAAACTAATGCCGAAAACGCGGAATATTCAAGTGAATAGACAAACTCACCACTAAAACTTCTATTAATTCATCAAGGCAGCTTTCTCTCCGTTTGCTTGACTGTAGCTCTTCGTTTAAAAGACGCAAATCATGTAGAAAAGTGTGATATACTGGTGATTTTGCAAGTAAATTAGTAGATGTCTCCCAGTCTTTGTCTGAAACGTTTGAAATTCAAAATTAATCGGTAACATGTACATACTCGTATTATATGCCATGTGCATACCATACCTATAGCTTGTAGTAGCAATAAGCTGGCTAACTGCTGCTTTTTGTAGTTCATTCGCCAAACTTTCAGGCAATCATCCCCACCGCTGCTGAGAAGGCAACTAATGCATCCTTCAATTTCGTTGATTGGCTTATTTACAGTCGTTATGTCGCGGAAAAGCGTCAGGAAGATATTCGCATGCTTAACCGGGCTGGAAATGTACTTTTGCTGAAATTACAAACAAAGCAATGGAGTCAATGGCAGCGCTCTTAACTTAATTGTTTTCCAGACTCACCAGCAACTGACTTGCACTCCGCTTCAGGCTTTGCTGGAGCTCCTTGGGTAGATTATTATAGGTAGCATTCAGTGCGTTATAGGTGGCGAAAAATTCATTCTGATTAAGCAGCAATATATCCTCCGAGGTGCCTACAGCGGCTGCGTTAAGGACCCTTTCTATGTAATCTACTACAAACTTTGAGTAGGTTTTCAGTTCCAAATTGGGTAACATTAAATTCTGCCAGACCTTAACTCCCTCATTCAGTGATCTATAACCGCCCTGTCCGATGGCCCACAAAATACTTAAGCAAATGCTGCTCCTATTTTGATAGGAGTTTCTCAGTAAAGCGGTCTTGGCAAAGTTTTTAGAGCAAATACTCGGCCAATTCTGACCTATTAACTGTAGCATAAACTTGTAGCCAACCACCGTCTGGTTATTGTTAAGATCCGTAGTCATACCATCTAATAGAGAGTAAAAAAAATACTCTAGATTTGACTCGCCTACGCTACTAAGGAATTCTACTACTGATTTCTTGAGAGCAGCACTCGCCAGATTACTAGGATACTGAGCAGAACGTCCAGAGAATACGGGATCACAGTCGTAGGACAGGGCTCCATTGAAATAAAGGGCAATCTGTAAGGAAATTAAACAATACAAATCGTATGAACGATTGATGCTACTTGCATAAATGTACATGTTCCTATAAAAAAGTACTCCTGAGTTCTCTTTGTCGTTTCCACTAATTTTTGCCACGACAGCGATACTTTAGTTTGCAGCTTTTACGCACGAATTCACTTTTTTTTTTTTGCGATAGCTTGCCTTAAATTAGTTTTTGTTCTCCGTATCTTTTCGTAATATGTAAAAGGCTGCTTCCCGACTTACATGACTAAGCCATCGCAACTCAGAGCCAGGACAGCTTAATTTCACTTGCGTCAGCTGAGCAGCAAAATCATCCGGAGTTATATGCTTGAGGGCCTGTTCTAGTGTTTTCGGCTTAGCCAGAGGTGCCGGCATCTGTTTCTTGGTTGATCCGCCTCCACTATTGCCTCCAGACCCAACTGTTTTTATGGCGTTTTTCTTGATCGGCGACTTGTTTTTCGATGATGAGGCACTCGAACTAGACTTGGCAGGCGAATTCGATATGCTGTTGTTGTTGGTAGATCCGAATAAATTGCGATATTGCTGGGTTGGCACTGGGACAGAATTTAACGGGTGCATTTAGTCTCTTTTAATGTCAATTAATTACATGTACTTACAGAGTTCCTCCAGCTTTGGCATCTGAGCTGCAATACGCTTCTGTTCCGTATGTGCAGTAACTTTTTTATCCAGATTTTTTTGTTTGCGGGACTTGGTAACAACTTCCCATTGATCAGACATATTTATTTGCAATAAATTACGGGAAATATGAACTTTTTACTTAAATAGGTAAATCAAAGTAAGTTGACAAAAATTAGTGCTGCGAACAGTGTGACCAGCGGATTTATGAAGAGACGAGATATACGGACTGACCCTAATAAATATACCAAAATATACCGTCTCATTTTAAACATATACCGTAAATATACTGACGAATTCAAGATCTATTTTACATATTCCTCGTTTTTGATATTCCGTGGTATATTACTAGCTAAATAGAATATTTAGCCATGCCCACATAATTTTATACGATTTATGAATTAATTTTCTACTTGACTGGCTTATTCTAAATACTTGCTTTTATTGGATTTAATTGTAAATAAGTTAAGAGAATTTTTTACTTAAAGTTGGCCCAGTGTAACCGCAGAACGAACTTAGCCCACTTAAGCCCGCTCTATTTAAATATGTAGCTGTATGACACTAGATTTTGCTAACTGACTAACTGCAATATCAGAGACAGCCTTATGGGAAAAACCTGCAGATGAGAGCGAGAGAGATATATTCGTCAGCTTGGCAGAAATGATATTGCTGCCTGGCTTTCTGTGTATGGGAAAACATAATTTTGTTCTTCGACTAATAGCCATATATACCAATAGAGACTTATTTCATTATTAACGATTTTTCTGCCTCTCACTAACACACCATGCCCCATCGGAACTATTGTTGTTGTTGGCGATCATGGACGCTCGCACCTCCTTGTCCTAACACACCTTGTAAAATTCACGCAGTGCTGTCATGCTAGCTTAATTTCAAAGGTCACATTTTGTATACAATATTTAAAATATTTCATATGTTATGGAGGGATTAACGATGGAGATTAATTTCGATTATGATTCGGCGTTTTCAGTTTTCTGGTATATTCAAAATTGTGGATTCGTGAAAGGGAAGTGGGCTTGGCAAAATTATAGAAAAAACTTGATTCAGTGTGATATCGCAGGAGTCTGCATATGTACATTATTTGGTTGCTGTAGCTCTCATAGTCTCTGAGAACTAGGCGTCAAAAAAGACAGATGGACTGAAAGACATAGCTATATCGACTGATCAAGAATATAAATACTTTATGGGGTCTGAAACGCTTCCTTCTGATTGTTACACACATCCACTTTCACCGCAAATCTATACTGTTTGAGTATCGGGTATAAATAGGCTTACTTTGGAACGCTATACTGATTTTTCTAAGTTCAGTTCAGAAGCTTGTCGATGTCCGTATATACTCATTGTTAGAAATGAGTACACGGTATGGTCACTGCGCAATCTTGGCAAATTCAGACGTCTGCTCTGATGAGATGAATAAATACATGCTATATGTACAAATGTACGTAAATGTACGAACAAATAAGTTTCCGAGGGCAGACTGAAAAGAATACACGGATTGATATAAAAGCTTCAGCCACAAAAAATTAGTAGAATTAAGCTATGGGATTCCCACCATTATATTTTCCGTATTCGGCTTCAAACTTCAGCCAAATGTCATCATTTTAGGAAACAAACTGGGTTTTTCCAGAAAGCTGATTCCATACATACATAAGTATACGGTATCAGCCACATCCGGAACATTGACTTTGGCAGACAAATCATTTTGTCTGAATTTCTTATTGCCATAATTCATTCAAAAATAATGTACATATATATGTTTCGTAGATCCAAATGCTTGATAAGAAAAGATTCCGTTTGGTAACATCCGGCCCGACTTGACCAAAACCATCTGACCATCTCAGAAGTTTATTTCAGTATACGCTTAAGACGACATCTTTTTTAGGGGAAATCCAGCCTGGTCTATTGTACCGATCTCCTTTCTATGGTTCTAAGGTTTATTTTTATTTAATTTCCGTTAATTTTAAGATGATAAGAAGATGACACGCGTGCAGAAATGCTGACACTTAGAGACCTCGACCTGTACATACCCATTAATTGAAGAGTACATTAGTTTGAATATATTTGAAAACTCCTCCGACATAAGAGCACAATTATCTTATGGTTCTATTCCACCAGACCTCAAGATATCTTGAAGTGAACACTTGAACACTTCTGGAATCTCCATTCAATTCATCGGAATGCAAGTTTGAACTTCAAATTCAAATCTATAAAATCAAAATACTTGCAGCAGACCCAACAATTTACGTAGCGGGTATCCTATGTTCGGGGCTTGCTTGTGTCTCCTTATCGTACACACGTAATTCTATAATTTTTCTCGCCCGAACAATGTAGATTGACGCCACACATTTAGTTAGAACTGGGAGCTCATAATATACAAACGTTCCGCTGCTAAGACAATGAAAAATAAAATAGCGTTGATCTGTATCCTTGTGGTACTGAGCCTTGACTGGCTATATGAAGGCAGTGTCCGCGCGGACAGCGACAGCGACAGCAGCAGCAGCAGCAGTAGCAGTGGAGAGCATAAATATAAATACGGAAAAAAGAAGAACAAGAACAAATACAACTATCCCGCGTACCCGAGTCCATACGAGTACAATCCGTATCCCAATCCATACCCACAAAACAATTACAACCCATATCCCTACAATCAGTTTATGCCGCCCTATCAGCCGCCATATAGTCCGTATCCTTACAACCAGTTCATGCCACCTTATACACCTCATCAAGGGACTTTGGCTCCGTCAGCGGATCCAAATCCAAGCTGGAACTATAATGGACCTCCAAATCAGCAACCAGCTGTCCCGCCGGGACAGGCCCCACAAACGCAGCCCGCCTCAAGTGTAATCAACCACTCGCTTAAAGTCAACAAAGAATACAACGAAGACGGACACCATACATCTTAGGAATGCTTTTATAATAAAACAAAAATAAACAGGAAGAGTAAACTACAACAACACTGTTTATATGACGAACTTGCCTGCTTTGCAGACTTTTGCACACACTGATACTATTATCAGATGATCCCCAAGCGATTCTCGAGTCGAGTATCAATCAGCTGAGTTATGCACATGACATGTTTACTATTCAGGGACCTTCTCTGCCTGATGTTTAAAACACTAATTCAGGAGCGTACTTATTTGAATCTTAATATGTACACATAAGTACAAACAGTCATAGAAAAAATAATGTACATTTTTCTCATATTTTTCAAAATTTTCTTCAGTTAATATTTTTTTTAGGTTTCCTAATTTTGATTTAGGGGACGTATACAATAATGTATCAAAATCTAAAAATCACATTATATATTTTATTTATATTCTTGCACGGGCAGGAAAAATCACATTTACATTTCGTTTCATCAGGCACTCTCTGGTACAACAACAGTATTGTGATTGTAAAGGTGTATGTTGTATGCGTAAATATGCGAATACTTCTGTATGCTAAGTATAAGAGGTTCGAAAGGATGGCATATAAAGGCACATAGTTCGCGTGGAGCCAGCGGATTGTTTTGCCTTCGCGCCTTTGCGCTCAATCGAAACTTAACTAGCTTTGTGGTTCGATCCCGAAAAACAATAGGTTCGGCAGAGCACGGCTTTGGACGCTCCAGCGGAGAAATGAGCCGATCATCGTAGCTAAATTCATTGTATTTTAGATATGGCGATGGTGAATAGCTCTGAGTACTAACGGGAACGCTTGGATTAAACCTCAACGCTGCTTGTCGCATAAAATTAATCGTTTTGTTGGCATCTACAAAGTTCTGCTTCAGGAAAAATTGCGGCGGCAACGATGGTGCATCTCCAGTATGCAGTGAACGCACGTTACGCATTTGGTCATAGAATTGCAGTATAATTTGAAGCAGCTCCACAGAATCGTCTTGATAGACTCCCATAACTTGCTCGCCAAGTATGGTGTAGAAAACATAAAAACGGCGAGGAGTGGGGATCTCGCCCAACGTTAACAGCGGCGTAATATCATTGTCTTTTGGTCGTTCTTCAAAACGCAACAAGATCAGGTCACTGTTAACCAATTGCATCTTTTCCATTATCATATGCTCCAACTATAAATAGGCAAAACGTGTCACAGGTGGTCAACCATATGCTTCTTATAAAATATATACTTACAAAGTCGAAGTTCTTGTAGAAATCCTGATATCTTTGACTTGATCTGGAGCTGTTTGCATCAATTTGTCGATATAAAAAACTCAGTACGCGTTGTTTTATGTGTGTAATTGGCAAAATTGTATTGGCGTCCAAAACACCTATATCTGAAGAAACTTCATCGATAAAGCCCCTCGGCCGAGGACCAATTGTCTCTCGTTTGACAAGGCGGCCAGCGACCACCTCATATATATATATGCACTGATATAACCTCGACATGATCGCTACCAAGGAGTCATGGACCGAAATGCCGTGATTATGTCCAATAACGATTGAATCTTGCGGCAGGAAGAGTCTGTCAGTGACTACGCCCAATACCAAATCCACAACAAAAAATATGTATGAGAATGCGTCTAGTTTGTCAAACAGATCCGGATAGCTTATATAATCCGCTGTTGCCAACGCTCCATGCAGGATGCACATTGCTGCGAGAAGAACATAACGTCCGTTTTCCAAGAAAACACTAAATTCACGGTGCAAATAGAAGCGCCCATAATCGCCCTGGCACAAGCGCAGAATTCTAACATCATTTGTTGCGAATAGTCGATCAAATATCGTGTTTTTTAGTGTGCCGGGGCCTCTGTTTCCGGCAATGTAGCACTCGGTTTCTCCGACTTCGGAAATTAGTTCTCCCACGCCCGATGCGCCGAAGCCTTTATATTTGTAAATATGTAAGCTTCTCTGATCGTGAGAAAATGCCAAGAGCTTGCTTCCGTCAGGGGTAAACTTGCGTAGATAAACAAGTGGCACTGCCACATAATCTATTGTAAGACAGGGAGTGATACATTTGTAGAACCCTCGCTCATAAGTAAGGTATGGGCTTTGATTGAACTTGCTGCCGACTCTGGTGTAACACGATTCACGATTCTGCAGCATATGCACGAGATTTTGTGACTGCAGACGCAGGTTGTATGCTGTCATTATTAAATGCCGAGTTAGTCTAGAGAAACGAAACTGTAAAAAATATCGATAGTATCGATTATTGTAATAGCACATATTCTGCTACCGCCTTTCTTTATAGTTTTATATACATATGTACTTATACACTTCTTTATGCTGGACGCGGAATTTTAAACGGAGAGGCCAATATCAAGATCATTCCACCATATAGTTGAAAGGGAAAACAATGGTCAAAACCTTTTGATTCTGGCGATAGCTCAACCAAAGACAGTATAAATATTTCTTATTTTAGTTTACTGTCGTATTATTTAACTTTATTTAGTGTCCAGATATTAGCGGATACCTATATCTCAAACAAGCACTTTTCATTTTGTTGGCTACAAAACTGGAAATGGGACATTTAAACATTATATCCAACAATGTGGCGCTTTCCGATGCATTCGCCAATGTAAAACCAAAAGATGACCTCGGCGGTGATAAGCGTGTTTAACCAAGCTTCACGAACGGTAAGGTTCTTGTATGAGCCGGTTTTAGCACCCTTGACAATGTTGCCAATGCTCTGACGAATTGCTGGAATATCAGCTGGCGTTGGTGGAGTTAGTTCCACCTTGGCGTATTTCAAGAAAACATCGAGCTGAGGCCTTGCCTGAACAAGAAGCCCTGAAAAAAATTGCATTACATAATTCGGTATTGTGTGAAAGTATGCTTTTTTCCAAAATTTAGACTTTTAAATGATAAAACTTACTGTTTACAAGTCCCGATCCCTTTGTTGCCAAACTCGCCATATTTTCGTGTAATCTAAAAGTACTTAAGATTAAAAACTAAAAGATTTAAAAGAAATTGCGAAAACCTTACCAAGTCAATGCGCGATGAAACAGAGATGTTATGCACTAAGGGCTGCTGAATAATTCAAGACATATCGATAGTCGATAGAAACGCGAAATATCAAGTAGTAATTATGATACACATCCAAAAATTTGTTTAATATCAAGCGAGTTTCCAATAAATGTGAGATTGTAAAAAATATACATGGTACATACGATACATTAAAAGAATAGTCGATGATACTACACTTAACTAACTTTACTCACTTAACTAATCTGAAAGACAGTGCACATTCCAAGTGCTGTGGCGCACTATTTATGCGAAAGCGATGACTTTTAATCTATACTAGCCAAGTCTACAAAGATTATTTATTTATTTATAATTTATCCGATCGACTAAACACCCAAAGTCACTGCATTATTCATTCGTGAGAACTCTTCTCTGCTTTCAGACAGGAGTTAAGTTAGTAGCTAGTTAAGTGTAGTGCCACACTAATATTTAAGACTACATTATATTATTACATTATTTGAATGTTGTGCTTATTATTAACAGCTTCCATTGTATGGCAGGCTGGACAACAAACCATTTTTTTTTTTTTTTTGTATTAAATTCAAGCAGAATTGTACATTTCAATACTATTTTTATGACACACTTTGCTAATTATATTTATCAGGGCTGCTCTTGCTTGTAGATTACACTACAAGCATCGATAGTCTATCGATTGCTTACAATCAAGTGCACACCACTACTATAAAGGTGTGGAAAAATAAATTCCACAAAAAGAGCAAATATTTATGAATTTAATTTGTATTTATTAAGCAGTTCTTGAAAATTAAATTTAAATATTAATTTCATCCGAATCAAAAGTGGCTGTTTGATGTTTTTTTTTGGGAGTAGCGCTGAAAGAAAAGAGTGACGGGCGGTGAGTGTACTAGAAAAAAGGTGTGATTAAATCAAATGAAGTGGTGACCGAAACAGTGCAAAAAGAAAGTGCCTTCATAAATGATCATAACCACGTATGAATATTGTGTCGATTTAGTAAAACTGTGCATACAGAATAACGAAAAGGTGAAGAGATTCCTACATATTCGCATATGTAAATATGTACCCGCATGTACATACATATATACATGTAAATATGTATGAACAGCTAACCAAGACTTATAGCATTGATTATTTAATTTGCGTTGGTGAGTGCACACAGTGCAAATAGTGGGGCGAATCAGATCCCATTAAATTGGGGGTATTGACTAAACTTTGCTCAGTCTGCGCTACGGTAGGGATGATTTGGGCTGAGCCTCTTATCACAACATGGAGAATACCCATACATATCTGTGGGGTGTGGTCCATCGGTCCAATAAATGTTTTAAATTACAGTCCCGAGAACGAGGCTGTAAACTTCGTTTCAACAGTGCATACAAATTCAAAGTGTATAACTCTATCATTCACTATTAATACAGTTCTAAAGAAGCATACGCCGGAAAGAACCCCTAGGGTCAATGGTTTTACTTTTATGATATAATGTTTCAACAAAGTGGCTGATAAGACTGGAATAGACTGAATAGCTTTGAACAAGGAAGGTCCTGGAGTGAAACATTATTTGTTGAAATGTAACATTATTTTTATTCTTGGTTAGATCTTTCACAAAATTAAACAAAAATGCGTTGAGGAAGTTAAGGTGGTGCTGCTGGTCATCAACTGATTTGATTAAGTGTTAAACCAAAATTTAACTAACTTCTTCTATTCAAGTCAATGTGGACGCGTTAAAACCCGGTTGTGATTAGTTGGAGATTTTCATTACTTACCGAGGATGCCTCTGCCAAAGCGATCTATTGAGCCCGTTCATGTGGCACGATCCGTGTACCAACAAGATGAGCTGCAGTCGGTAGAGCTGGAGACGGTAACAAACACCACACTCACGAATATCATACGGCAGCTGTCATCGCTGTCGAAGCACGCCGAAGATGTTTTTGGCGAACTGGCCCGAGATGTGGGAAGTATTGGCGATCGTGCGAATTCTCTCCAGGCACGCATCGATCGGCTGGCAATTAAGGTTACCCAGCTGGACAGCACCGTGGAAGAGGTGCCACTCACCGATATTACAAGGAAGAAGGCCTTCAAGTCGGCAAAGATATTTGATCAGCAAATCTTCTCACGAGCTACAATGCCTGCCCCAATGCTGGAGACATACGCCCAGTGCGACAAGCCACCACCGCTGGACAAGCTGAACGTCTATCGAGACGATGGAAAGGATGGCCTCAAATTCTACACTGATCCGAACTATTTCTTTGAGCTATGGCGACAGGAAATGCTGAAGGACACGGAGCGCGTCATGCACGATAAAGGGAAGAAACTTAACCGGCCACGACCAGACGGTGGCAGCGGCGGGGCCGCCGGTCGTGGCAATAAAAAACAAAAGACAAAAATTAGAGCACCGCATAATACTCGGGAGAAGCAGCGACAGCTCGTCCTGGGCCACGGCGAGACGTTGATGCCCAACAACGTTATTTATCGCACTCCAAATTCAATGGTCAACGAGGAAGCCGGATATGGAAGTAAGTATGAACTTTCGCGACCATACATATGTGTACATACATAAATACGTATGTACCTATGATTTAATCAAAAGCCAAGTACTCAGTGCGAAAAAAACTCTTTAAAAGGCGATCCGAATTCGGATGCAATAGGAAATTTGACAATTCTCTTTATACGCACTGAATATTTGTACTTATCTGCACAACGATACGATAAATACAATTTACTTAATTTTCAAATATGTCCTGTCTACCTACGTAGCTCAGCTAGTCAAAATAATAACCACAGCGCAAGGCGCCGACATCGATGTGCGGCACCAGGTAGTGTCGCATTTGCCCGATATCGATAGGGATAATGTCCAAGACGTAGGTACGAACGGGTCCGGGGCTGCATACGATAAACATGAGCATAACTTGGGCGGACATACGATACTGGCATTCAGCATTTGATACAAATACTCCATACATTCACTTGTTTAATAATCACTTTAATAAAACGCTAGCTCGTGTGTTTTCGATTCGTTCAAGCAACTGATAATCGCTCGCTAATATACGTATGATGTTTGTGTTGCAGAGAAATGAAACTAAACCCAAATAAAAAAAAAAAAAATTAGTTGTCTCGCAGACGTTCTTCAGCGTTTTCTAATTTTATTCTGTTTGAATATATGAGTTACATATTAACGTATTAATTCATTCAAGCTGTTCATCATCTTATCATTGCTCATCTGCTTTACATAGACCTCGAATTTTGAAAGAATAATAAATTATTCAATTTGGAAACCAAACGAATGTAATTTCGGAAATATATAATAGGAGCCAAATTTAATAGGATGCTCCTGTGATGCCAGTGCAGAATACCGAGCAAATAAATATTACAGCCAGAATACAAAAATAATAGAACAAGAATAAATAAAAAAAAATAACAGTTGTAGTTTTAAACGAATTACTTCAAACCATCATTCAGACTTCGATCCGACTCACACTCAGACTCATTGTCGCATTCAAGTTCTTTCGAGTACTCAACAATTTCATGAAAGTGTCGGTTAAGAAGTTGTATTAAATCTTTTGCATGCCATAAGTTTTATGAACTTTTTTTTGTTGTTGTGCAATGATACGTATAAAATTGACTGTAAATATGAATGGAACAAACAAACACACCTGATCATCTCATTTACAGATTCAGTAAAGCCATATAATATGCTCTCACATTTGGAGAAAAACAGTAATCTCACAAAGCAAACCGCCGTTGCAATTACAGGTTAGACATCAAATCAACTTAAAGAAAGCTCAACATAGACTCTAAATGTTTCTCATACGCATACACTTCTATCCTAATTTTTCCACGGGCAACTTTTTATCTGTTCATTTGGTTTGCCCAGACCAGAGAGGTCCCTCCAATAACATATAAATATATGTATGTATGTACGTGTGTATGAAGTTGCACTCTATCGATATCGCAATGGAAATATGTACACATTTCTACACATTCTTATGTTCAGTTGAATCATTGTTTACAAACCCAGAAGACATTCACTTTTTATTTGTCCAAATGTCAGATAAGTGTACACCCGAGAAAAGTAATTTTCGAGCTAAAGCTAAAGACTGAAAACAATTTCATAGTATTATTAGAACAACAAAAACCAAAACATAAAACACAGCATATTATAATATGGTAAACATATTATAGTCTGATGCAATCCCAATTAGATCACTACAGAATAAGCTGTGAAATTGCATATGTGTATAAATTCGATACGATTCACTTCGATGTCTAAAGGTAGCGTCACTTGCACGGAAATACAAAATTGCTTGTCATGTCATACATGGTACATACATCGTTTTAATACTCTTGAAGCTCTACTCTAAAGCCCTCTTTATAGAAAGTCTGTCCGCCGTTTCTGTGAACCTCCCAGTTTCAAAGCTTAATTCTTCATTTGGCGCACGCATCGTACCAGAAGAGCTGCTATAGGAATATTACTTCCAACTCAAATTTATGTTTTCGTGCACATCACAGGATAAGATTTTGTCAAAATCGGATTAGCATGTCTGTTTAGAAAATAGATTTATTTAATGGTCGTAGAGCTTCAAGGGTATTAAACATTTCTCCGTGGTTTTTCTTTTTTGATTTAGATTCCATTTTGTGTAATTACATTTCTACCTTCGACCTAAGCATTTACGTACTTGGCTTGTTTTCTTATTTTCTGTAAGAATAGTTAACGGGTTGGACTCGTGACATTTCAATGGCACTAACGTTTCTGTTGCGCTTTTCTAGATATGGGTGTTTATGACACGCGCCCACCGCGTCCAAACTCCATTGAACTAAGACGCAGCTACCCATCTGAGCACGTCGATGGTAGCGGCTACGATCAGCATACCCCACAAGCGGCTGCCAATCAATACTCAACTTACGGCGGGAATGGCTTGTCGGCCGCACCTCACATGCATATGCAGCATCAGCAACTATACGATTCCGGGCTTTATCAGTCGCATGCGTTATACGGTCAAAGTGGACAGGGTGTTATGTCCCCAGAACCAATATACGGGCCGGGAACGCCATCTCGCAATAAACCCCGACCTTCGCAGCCACCACCGGCACCACCTTCGAATGGCAGTGGAGGCGGCACACCTACTGCCTCAAACGCAAATACTCCGACGCGAGGTCGAAGTATGTCGACAAGTCGTGACGCGTTGCCACCGCCGCCGCCAGTTCCAGATGCAGTTTCACCATTGTCATCAATGAACGGCGCCAACAATAGCCATATGTCTGTTAAACTACTGGGGCGCACAAACAGTGCATCGCGAGCTGGATCTCCGCAGATGGCTCCCAGCAACAGCGCCCATAATGCAAATGACCTTGTTATGGCGCAACTAAGTAATACATTTAACAGCATTGGCATGACAGGAAACCAACTGAACTCTCTTAGCGACTTACCTCCGCCACCACCAGTGCCCGATCAGGTTTGTTAGATTATTATTTTTAATTTGATTGCTCGGCCTCAACTTTTTCGATTTATCCTGTAGCACCTACCCAAACTGTCTTCACCAAATACGGCACCACCACCGCCGCCACCACCACCACCTGTAGATGAAGGCTTAGGCAGTCTCCATACAATGCGTCCACACCAAGTTCTACCCAAAACGCCTGCCAATGGCGAAATGCAGCAAGGGCTAAATGGTGGGTCGCACATTGTGAGTGCCAAAAAGTTACTGCCTCCATTCCACGATCCCCGCAACGATTTAATGAAAGCTATTCGAGATGGTAAGTGCCAATTGGTAATCAATAAATTAGTTACGCCCGAGCTAGATAACAATTTAATTAAATCTTAATTGCAGGCATCACTCTGCGTAAGGTGGAAAAGTCCGAGCAGAAGGAGATCGAACGCAACACAGCACCACTTGATGTGGCATCGATCTTGGCAAGACGTGTGGCGATTGAGTTGTCCGAGTCTGAAGATTCGGATAGTGAAGACGACAGCGAAGGTTGGATGGAGCCCAACGAAACATCGGCTTGATCCCTGATAAATTCATTAAATCCGGTCGTAATATTAAAGAATAAGAAGAAGAAGTAATTCCAAAGAGAATTAATCCATACGTTGGTATTTAGCAAGCGTATTCTGCAATTGGATTACTTAGAAGCACCAAAGCTTTTCAACCACTCTTATATCAAATATTCCTATTTCTACATTACTATATACATATATTTATAATCGAAAGCTAATAGATTGTATATACAAACAAGTAATTATATTATCGTTAAATTTACCGATATAGCACTAAACATTAGGCATTTACGAGTATGTAAAACTCGATCGGGTGCGAAATACGCTCCTGAATATTACGATGTGTCTAAATAATTATTGTCTTTTGTATTATAGAACTTGGTGTTTGGATAATAATTTATAAATAATCGATATTAACACTAAACTCAATCCTATCCCTACCCGAAAATCTGAATATCCGAAAAAAAGAATTTTAATGCAATTAATATAACATTATTCACATTAAAAGCTTACTATGCTGTATATACGAAAATATGTAAAGATAAAAAGCTTCGGCACTTGATCACATAGATATAAATTGTATTATCTACATATGTATAATTAAAAGATTTGTAATTGATCACGTATAAATAAGCACCTATGGATGTGTGGTCATATATGCAAACGTCTAAAACATACATGTATTCTTTAAACAAATATAAAATAAAGTAATTATTACCCAACATTTACTCTACAAAAACAGTTTCTTCCCCGGTAACCTGTCCGGTACCGTTTTTCTGTCTTTGAGTCGGATCCGGCCATAGTGATGTTAACCCGAGCCTTTCCATTCACAAATTCCAATTCAATTTTTCGTTAAATTCTCTTACTTAAATTCTCTTTTAAACTATCTTTCGTCTATAACCGCGGTCTGCTGCCTATCTACTCGCGTTCAGTTACTCAGCTCGTCTGGGTCCCAAAGCGACGTACTTTTTTAACAACAAATACATGGTCCAACGTCGATCGAGACTCGAGACTCTTCTGGGTTTGCCGCCTTTGGCCGACGAACGAATAATTCAATTAACGTGAGAAATAATAGAGCAACAAAATAGCAGTGAGTGAGCATGTCGCAATTGCGTGAAAAATGTCATGAACAAATATCATCAAGTACAACATTAAATGCTACCTTTCAATATTCAAAATTACCCCGACGCAGCATACAACATAAAACTACAATCGTAAGTGGTAAGTGCTGAAATTTTTTATTGTAGGTTAATTTTAGATGGATGCGGTATGGCACACAAATATTCTCTCGAGGCTTTTTAAGTAACTTAATGTTGTTTAGCATACTTTGAATTAATTTTTCACTTTGGTTATAACTTTAAGTAACTTAATGATGTTTAGCATACTTTGAATTAATTTTCCACATTGGTTATAAATAAAACTGACATTCGCAATACGAAAATTAAGAATGCTTCCTGCATATCTACGATCAAAATTGTAGTGGAGATAAACTTATAGATAATTGTAGTGGAGATAAACTTATAGATAATAGAACTTTTTCTCAAGCGCATTCTGTGGAATGGAGTGCAAATGTGTACCGACGAGGGTAGCTAGTTTTTTAGCATACTGGCAAACAGCGGGTACACGTGTAGTTCCCGACCAGTTATAATAAAGATGACACATCTTATATGTGAGCTTTTGGATTTGGTCAGGGCTGAGGCGTATGTTGCTATAGAGCACATTATAGCCCGTTGGCGACACTGTTCCTTGGCGAACAGCCTGTGACACCAAGTAGAAGTCGTATCTTTCGGGCAGAGTAACAATGTTATCTACTACAGTTCCAGGTGGGGGATTTCTTCCGTTTCTAAAAAAACGCGTGTTGGAAGATTTAGTGACCACAATGTATGCCAGCATCGGTGGACCACTATTAGCACGCTTATATTCAATATCAAGCTTTTCCACAATATCTTTCACTTCGTATTCAAACAACTGCTTCAAAGATCCTGAGCTAACACCGTCACGATAGAATAGTATACGTGCTGGTAACTTTTGATGCTCTCCCTGATATTGCCTTAAGGCTTTGGCCATCATTGGCCAAAGGTTATTAGCCAGTACATCAAAGGCACTGCACTCTGAGACAGTGCTAAAGTAAGTTGAATTTTGCTGAAGATCCATGGAAGCAACTAAAGCACCATAAGCCTTACGGCGGTCACGAGCGCTTTTTGCGATATCAAAGCCAATGGTCATTAAACCAGAAAGTGGCAATTCAATCATCCATGGTGTATACCCCAATTTACAATTCAATTGAATTGCTATTTTTGTTGCAATACTCAATAGGCCTCGATTTTTCGAAGTTTTTATAGTCACAACTTGCGTAGGAACGGCTCTGTCAACACATCCTCTCTTTTTAATGGACGAATATCTGAAAAAAAGAAATGTATTTCATTTTGCATTCCAAAGTTGGCTTATTTTGATTATCAAACCTTTCTACATTGTTATTGGGAACAAGGCACAAGATTAATTTTGGATCCATGTCCGCACATTTATCCATAGCTCGCACATATGAGCCAGTGCGATCATCCTGAATTTTTATTCTAAATGTAAAGAGCGTTATTTTAAGAAAAATATACATTTTGCAGTTTTCAGCTTACACATGTGGACTTCTAATTTTGAGTCCCATACCAGAAGCTGCACGAAACAAACTGTCGAGCAACGTTTTAAGGTCAAACGAATTACGCTCAGGTGTAATTACGGCCCACCGGTCGATACCCTCACTAGGAGTTGTTAGTAGTCGTTGATCACGAAAGCATCTTGTCCAATCGGCACTTTCGCCAGAAGAACATCTGAATACAATTCATTTAGATATAAAAGTACATTTTTTTATAGACGACTCACTTTGATTGATTAAAGACAATTTTCTGCGGTGCAATTATGCGACCTTGTACATTTATAAGATTTTCATCGAGTTTCATGTTCCAGTCGTTAAGTACTTTCACACTATCCGCGGTATTTTGCAAACGGTTATTGAATCTACGCAAACGATCTATGCGGCGGTCAGGATTCATACGGGTGTAATCTGACATTGCTCGCATCAATCTGTAACAAAAAGGTGACTGTCTTAAATCCTTAACAATATAACTAGATATTTAAGGCTTACTGAAAATTGGAGCGCATGGACTCAGTAAGTCCCGTTACTCGGCATAGCTCTGGAATAAGAACTACCACTTCACTGGCATTAGTTTTCTGAGCCTTGTCCTTATTTTTTGAAATTAACAAGGGCTGATTGTGGTCACGAATGCGTATGTTATATTTCTAAAACAATTGATGTTTGTTATTTTCGATTTTGTATCATGGTTTTTTTTTACTTACAGTCAGATAGTACTCGATAAAACTAACATCCTTGCCTTTGCAACTAAATGTGGACTTTGGCGATTGTGCAAAATCAACATCGTTAATGCGGTATGTTTTGTTATTATAATCTGTAAGAACAACCAAATCTAGAACATTCGCGCGAAACTCGTCTTGATGTCGTGAGGGGTTATTAGAGCAACGTTTCAATATCTCATAGACAGTTTCGGTGCGCATCACTTTATGTGTAATTTCAGCACATAGCATTATATCTTTTTCGTGTTGTCTGATCGAAGTTTCATATCCTGGCCAGAGTTCCATTTGATGATCTCGGATCGGTATCTACAAATATTATATGTTTTAGTTAAAAATAAACAAACATATTTTTTACCGAACTTCTATACCTTTGCGTGGGGATCAAAAAGATTACGCCCAACTAACTCAAGCTTCAGACCCTTCATGGAGCGGCGCAAAATGAGATTTAGCACTTGCAAAAAGCGCGGTTCTGCGTTCGACACAATTCCAACACACTTTATTGAGATTTTGTAGTCAGTTCCCATTTTTGATTGGCCACACAGAACAATTGAATCCTTCTCCAATTTTTTGTTTGTGAACAATTGTTTTCCATCAAATAGATAGCCAGCTCCCAAAATATTAGCGTGATTTGACAATATGCCCATACGCACGCGTATATTCTCCAGCTCAGGCTCGAAGTCCACATGGTAGTGAACTATACGCCACTCTGGCTTGGTTTGCAATCGAAAGAAGTTTGATTGCAAACTAATAGGTTCTCCATCCTTGCCTTGCTTAGATACGATATCAGCCGGACGGGTCCTCACAATATCATAGCGATCCAAGTGCTGCCGTTCCTGCACCGGACCACCTTCCCGTCTCGATGACTCATGAGATGGCTCACGAGCGACCACAGCGCCACTTGATTGACCTGATGTGGAAGCTTCAGATTGTCCTTTGAAAACCTTTGCACGCTACATAAAATAAATTTCCAATATAAAAATGAGAAAAAATGCGATACACTCTATTTATAAAAAGATCAAGAATGTAGCCTAAAGTCGATTTTACGATTTCCCTACAGAAAGACAGACAGACCTTGAATCCTATATTGATGTTGGTCGGTGAGTAGACTGCAAGCGTGAACCTGTAATTTTATCATTTGACCAAAGCCGAAGAGCCGTAGATCTTGTGTCTCAGCAATATTACATAGTCTTAAAATGTTTAATTATTTATTGAACGGTAAGTTTGTGTGCGTAGACGACAGGCACTAAGTCTTTAGTTTTCTTGATTGCAGCTTCATTACTCTCTCGTTTGCTTTTTGCGACTGGTTGTATGTTACAGACGTTCGAAAATTGGCAATGCAAATGAACCATTTCTTTTGCCGATTTTGGTATCTCAAATGTCGAATAGACATAATATATGGAGTCTTAGTATATGGATCTCATTTCTTAGGTTTATTTTTCAACTTTGACTTGACTTAACAAAAAGAAACTTCGTTAAATATATTATATTATTATATATATATATTAAATATTCAGATTTCCGGCAAATATATACTTATGAAACGAAATATGTGAGTTGTGAGTTGCTGCGGAGACCGCAACTCTGCATTTATACCCGATACTTAGTCAGTATGGCTCTCCTCCGGCAGACGCCGCTAATATTAAACGACACGGCAAAGAGGTCGTGCGAGAGACAGAAAATCAGTCTGAGCGTGACGTCGGGCGCTGCGTAGCCACTGCAAATTGATTTGCTCCTTTTGGATATACAAATGATCCGATCTGATCCAGATTCAGCAACCTGATAGATATGGTTATTGTCTATGATTGTGCGTTTTTAGTTTTCTCGAATCTGCAATATTGTGGATGCAACAGATTTTCGTCCTGGGGGCGGAAGGGGGTGGGGCGAAATTTTTAGATATACTTTTTTTAGTGAGATATAACAGAAGTGCGGATACCAAATTTGGTTACTCTAGCCTTAATAGTCTCTGAGATTTGTGGATGCACCAGATTTTCGTCCTTTGCGGGGGCGGAAGTTGGTGTGGCGAAATTTTGACACAAAACGGTCAAGGTCCGATATCACAGGAGTGTGGATACTTAATTTGGTTGCTCTAGCTCTTATGGGTTCTGAGATCCTTG